TATTTTATTGTATAAAGAAGCCACCTGTTATTACATCGTCATAGCTTACAGTATGATCAAGAGTTTTTGGATTAGACTGTTTCCGGTTGTGTTTGCAATAGAATAATGTAACTGTAGAGTAGTAGTTATTTACTCGTTATTGTGCAAGGAAAAAGCCGGTCTATGACATGTCTGCTGATGTCATGAAAAGAAAGAGGAAAAAAAATGACTTATTGCGTGCACGTGCATTAATACTTTTTATGCATAGTAGAAAACCAGTTTGGGGAATTCAATTAAGTGAAAGGAAAAGGTGTTATTTCCGTCTCTGTTCTTTGCTTTCGCCTTGCCCTTTTGAAATAACTATGCAAAGAAACATTGGCATAGTATTCAATGAAATTTTCATGTTTTTCCTCAAAGAAGAAAGAAAAAAAAAGGTAGTTTTTTTTCTCCTTCATTAGTTTAAGAAGCTTTCATCTAATTGAGTATGTTGATATATCATCATACGTCTTGGTAGGTCGTGATTGTCTGATTGTTTGAAATCGTTCTCATTTATTTTAGTTTCGACAAATAATATTACATTTTTTATATTCGACACTTTTTTAACAGGGCTTCGAAAAGTCCAGAAAGCTAGAATTATTCGACAAATATAGAAAATAATCACAGTAATTTCGACAAAAAAAAACACAAGCAAGACCACTGCGAAAATTGTATATAATCAGATTTTCATATAAAATCTCGTTTTCTATTAATACACTAGAATACAAGCGTATCTTGTTCATGTCACCAAGCCAAATATGATATGCATTGTTGCTCAGATTGTATCTAATTCTATTTGCCTAGCATTCATTCAGTGCTTTGTTGTAGACATGTCATTACCTATAAATGACGTTGTGGAATTTATCGTATTTATGTCTTCCGAGATGTCTTTTTCTGTTAGATTACTTTTTGATTAATCAATGTTCCAGATTAGATCTATGTGAGACTTCATTCTTAAGAAATAGAAGTATAAGATGAAAACCTTATCAATACTGATTAAATTGTTAGTATTAACTAGTTTTTTACAAAGTATTCGTAAATTAACGAAGATTTAGATCAAAATGTACGTTCTACATTAATGTGAATGATATATGTTTTAATTTATTCTAAAGCTGTTTTAATATAAGTGCATACGAGTAGCGATGAAATAATATAAAGCTAAGAGAAAATTACATTTACTAAAAATACTAATTCTTTAGAGATTTCAATGTAGGACGTCTATCTGATCAGAATAGAATTCGCACATCCCGTGTGCCATTTTCAATCATTCGCTCGTATGACTGATGATACCCTGGATGATATATGTGCTTAATGTATTAATTTTTCTTTCTGATGGCCTCTTCAGTCAACATTTGATGTCTAATATAGAACGATATCATATTGATTGTTGCTAATTATTGAATATTTGTTGTTCAAATCAAGCCATTCTACATAGGCTTATGGTATGAATTATATAACGATTTATAAATAAAATACTGATAAACGAACAAACTTACAAGATTAGTTGAAGAAATTTTAATCAGAAAAATATTTAACAATTTTGATAGAAGAATTATCTAGAAGGAAATCAAATTTGTTACCTTTTTATATTATAAATCCATATTTTGAGTTTTGATTATCATAGAAAAGAAAATGACGAACAGACTTGGCTTGTACTATGACATTTATAACATTTTTTTGTAATGATGTAATTAATTTGTGCTACTGAACAAATAAATTTAACAAAACATGTATCGTTTTTTCTTGATAAATGAATGAATGAGTGTAACAATTGGAAGTCTCTATGATGTATTTGACATTCAACAGAAGAAATACTTTTAGTTTTTTCTACACATTCTCTGCCCTTTTTTTTCATTCCTCTGTATGCTACATTTACAATGGTCTATCGTAATTGTTACCATAATGCAGCATGTATTGTTTATCAACGAGAATGTCTTGTTTTCGTAATCGTTTATATCCTTCAATACTTTTCTAATAATGTTTATTTTATTGAGAAAATTGCTACAATTAGTTAAATCGATGAAGGAATTTTGTCTGATTTAGTAATAAGATTGAGTTCATATAGATATTAATCATTAATATCTAGTGTGATGAAATATGAAATTCTCAAAAGAGAACAAGACGAAGAATGATCAACATTATTAGCCATGAATATTGGGAGTAGGCTTTAGAGAACACTATTGATTGAGAAGCATCACATGGATATATGAGTATTAGAGATAAAAAGTATAGCTATTGACTTTTCTTAAATGTCGATTGGTTCTGTATATATTTCATAATTTTGACCTTTAATCATATGTCCTTCTTCCACTAAATGAATATACATATGTTTAACTAATTGGTTGCCTAGTTCTGTTGAAAGGTGTCAAATGAGAATGTTCGATACATTTCCGAGTGAAATGCTAATAGAAATAGTTGACTATGTTAATACAACCGTCAGCTGTTTGGACAGAATATATTTTCTGTAAAGAATCTTATTTTATAACTGAGTAAAAAGAAAACTAGTAAACGCATTAGTTTAATTCTTTTTTTTTTGTAAACAGACTTTTCCGGTCCGTGATATGTCTAAAATGACATTTCAAGTAAAGAATCCCAAATTATAATAATAAAAAATTAATAGAAAAAAGGTTTATTACGGAAACGTCAAAGTTCACTATTGTTTTTTCTATAAAGTTTAAAAAATTATTTTTGTAAATTTTTACAATTGAATATGGTTTTTTATGCAAAAATTGAATGGTAATTGCATGTTACAATTTTTTTCAATATACGAGGTTAGATGTAAATATTATGATGCCAATAATAGATAACAATTACAAATTCAAGCATAATTGACAACTGATATTCAATTGATAAGTTGATGGTACTGTCTCATAAACGATCGTAAATATAGCATGACGAATGTTGTTTTTGTTCTTCTAGACTTGACAGAGACCGAACTCGAACCATTTTTCAACAATAAAGTCTAACCGAACCAGAAATAATTTTTAAAAAGATAGTCGAACTCAGTCAAACTTTATATGAAAAATAATTGATTAAACTATAATCGGTTTTTTGTAAAAATGTAACGCGATTGGCAAAAATAAAACAAACTTTGAGTGATCGTTAGATATTTTTTATTTAATTTCCATAGAATACAGCTTTGTTTTTCCTCTTCATGACACTTCCATTAACTGTGTGTATGACAATGGATCACTTCTAGATGATAGTTTTTTTATTTTTTTCTCTTTTAAATTTCTCCATTTTTCCGTATTACGATGAATAATCGTCTGTAACCGTGTGATACGATGTATCAAGACTAAAAAATGCATGATACTTACACATTAATATTAAAAACTTTATTTTAATCCACAAATATACTAAACAGTATTAATTCAAAACAACTTCTGGTAATTGAAGTTCTTAGATTAAAAAGACCATCATCAGAATCATTTATTGCACAAAATCTTATCAACTGCATTTATCTAGAAATGATCCTGATATGAATGTATACTAAAAGTGAGATTTACAAGAATATTTGTGCAAGTCCAAAGTTATATACAAACGAAAAGAAGTCTCGATTTCAGTTTAACCTCCCTTTGTACATATGGTCCCAGCTTCTTTCAATAATCTCTATAACCAGCTGTATTATTATGAATAGTTGATGCATTGCTTTGCGTTCAGTTGAACGTCATAACTATAGTTTGATCAAAATTCATCTTGCTTAATACTATGTCATTCTGCTGAACACTATTCAATGTATTAAATATTTATATAAATATGACTTTTTATAATGACTAAGGAGTTAAATTATTTGGGCTCGGATAAAAAATTCTGATCTGTCGAAAACGACCTTCAATCGTTCATATATATATATGAGAGGCCAATGTAACTTGATAAGTGTATAAATTTATATTTTGACCTATTAAGCTATAGTCAAAGAAATATCGATCTGGTTCTTCTTGTCTATATAACAATTGATTACACATAAGATAAACATTAATGAAACCAGTTCTCGTTGATTTATGCCAATCTAACATAAATGACATTCGATAAAATTGAGATTGTGGCAAATCTCAAATTATTACTAACTTTCAATAGAATCTGTGGATGCTGATTCTTGACAAAAATAGCTTATGACAAATGACAGAATAGCAGAAATAACTGTTTACTTGTATACATGATTGAAAATCGTCACGAGAAAAGCAGATAACAGAGATGAAAAGCAATAAATGTTATTTCGTCGATACTAGTATTTTATCGGTTACGATGACAGCAATTATTTGTTTTACTCCGCAACTTTCTCTTACGATCACTCTCAAGGTGATGAATTTCTGATTTCTTATCTATTTTTGAAATAATAGGATTCAAAAGAACAGATAATTATTCATATTAGTTCAAATTCGTAGAACTTCTCAATTTGTAGAAATTTTGAAGAAACAACATTCGTCGCTCCTTGATAAAATCATTTTTTTCACGTGATTGTAAATGATTAATCTTAGAAAAGTGATACTTACGGCTTTTTTCATCTATTCTATCTAACCCCGAATGTACAGTTAGAATAAAAAGTAATGTATTTTTCAATATATTCATATAGCCTTTTTTCATAAATTGTGATATATAAAAAAACAACAACAATATATTATTTTATTAATTATATCAAAATATTGGATCTTTTGTTTTATTTTTTGGTTTCATTTCTAAATACTTTGACAAATTTTTCTTTTTTTTTTTTCTTTCGTATTGTAGAGTTTGTGTGTCAAATCTACAATTACAAATTACACATCATTTTCCGAAGAACAAAAAGAAAAAGAAAAAAGAGAGAGAGAAATTTTGTTTGTTCTCATCATCACACTACTACTCTACAATCCATAACAATACAACAAACTGATAACATAAAGAAAGAACAAAAAGAAATATATATATATATATATATTCGTTGTATATCTGCCCTGAGTTTCGAGTGTAAATATATATATATATATTTTAGAGTGAAAGAGAATGATCAATTATTTGCTTTGTAGTGCTGAGATTACGGAACGCTTCCGTTGTCCTCGAATACGTGGACGATAAGCATATATTGGTGGTAAAAGACGATTGAGTTGAGTCGCATTCAGTTCATTAATAGGTACATGTTTTGGTTTTAATTTAATGTCTGAACCTTTGATCCATTCTCCTGGATGACTAAATAGAAGAAAGGAAAACAATAGAAAGAATTCAAATAGATTATCTTTATTCGTAATACTTACATATCTTCAGGTGTCCATTCAACATATTGTTCAGTTCGATCGCCAATATGTCGTTTCATCGTAACCTGTATATCAATAGTCATTAGATGAATGAATCAGAATATATTTAAAAAGAAAAATTACGTTTGGTTGTAAAACAACTACTGTGCCAGATTTGTCGGTCGAAAAATAGGGACATGTGTCGAAGAGACGTGTCAAATGAAAGATTTCACTATCAGTAAAACAGTCTCGATTTGCAGCTAAAGAAAAAGAAATATTAATATATTAAAAAATCAATTGATGGGTAATCTATAAAGAATTATACTTTTAGTATTTTTGAAAGTTCTTCTCTATTATTTCCTTGATTGAAACACTTTCTTTCTATCAAAAGATACTGCCTGAAATTTCATCCAAAATGATATAATTTATTTAACGAATATAGTTTTCTCGATTTCTTTAGATTAAACATAACGATATAGTATGAAATCAAGTACAGAATATAAAATTTTTTCTTTTTAAAATTTTTTGATGATGTTTCATTTCGTCTATCAATGTTATTTTTGTTGTTATGTGATGTTAATTCATAGCTTCAACCAGTTCATTCCATAAATTACTATCCATTTTAAAATACAATGTGTTTCATTATTTTTTGCGTAATTTTTGGTAGAAACATAATAGAAACCTGCGATTTTCACCATTCAAGAGAGAAGACCCAGAACAATCGAACTATATAACAATTTCATTGGTTAACAATTGATCAATCTGTTGAGTTCTTGGCGATGATTTTTGAAAATGATTTTCTGAAGCTATTTACCATTTGATTTAGACTTTTAATGGGAGCAACTCATAGAACAAATTCTTCTTACTGGCGTTAAACAAAGCAGATATTCATCGCTTGTTCCGTTCGAAAGCTTTAAGACTTTTCCTGAGAGATTCTCGATTTCAGCGAATTGACTTTTGATCATCCAGAAAAGCAGCTATACAAGAGCAATTCATCATATTGAGTCGAATGGTGATATCTTTTTTTATATTCAAACTGATCTGATACTGTTATTTCAATATTTCTGAAATTTCACAATTAACCTCCATATAATGAAGGAGTTGACATTTTTGAAATATTGAGATAACAATGTCAGATCATTTCGAACGCAAAAGTAAATATCATCTCTCGATTCAGCATGACGAATTAGCTATCTAACTGTTTTTTTTTTGGGTGATCACAGGTCAATGAACTAAAACCGAGGGTGTCAAGAAAAGTGTTATAACTTTCAAACAAAACAAGCTAAGAATGTCAGAATCAGGTAGATTGAAGGAGAATTCTTTCTATAGACTAGCTCTGTTAAACGTTTGAAGCAAAATGAAAATATCTTTACGATATGATTTTCAAAAATCTCCATCAAGAACTCACTTGTTTGATCAATCTCTGACCAATCAAATTTTTATATACTTCGCTGGTTTTGAGTTTTCTCTCTTGAATAGCGAAAATCGCAGATCTCTATGATATGCCTATCAAAAGTTATTCAAAAAACAGTGGGGCACATCATATTTTGAAATGGATAGTAATTATATTGCTCAAAACAACAGGAGGTAAGCTGTAAACAGGAAGAGAGCTGTTAAAAAAGATGCTGTTCATGTGTAAAATGAAATTGCACGGTAAACGTGATGGTGTGATTATGTTTGTGTATGAACAACAACTGACAGTGTTGGTAATTTAAAAAGATGAATTCAAAGATAGAACATATCAGTAAGATGGTGCAAAACCTTACAGACATCAGCTCAGTCAAAAATGATGTGTTGCTCATTTTCCTACATTCATGCCAAAGCAACATGGGCCATCAAATTCACGTAATTTACGTCAACTAGATTATAGATTATGGCATGAGCAGGCGGAAGCTATAGATTGGGACTACGTAACAGCAAAGACAATATTGATAGACGAAATAAAATACTCTACCAAAACAATTGAAAAAGAAAAATTTTTACATTGTGTACTTGATTTTATACTGTACGGTTATGTTTAATGCAAAACACAATGAAGAAAACTATATTTGTTAAATAAATTCTATCATTTTGTGCAAAATCTGAAGCACTATCTTTTGATAAAAAGAAAGTGTTTCAATAAAGAGGATAAAATCCCAAAATACTAACAGTATAATTTTTTTTATGAGCTACTCGTTATTATTATTTACCGTACGCAACAGGTACTCCATTAATTTTAGCTCGACGTTTTCGATTAGCTTTTTTCTCATTTGATTGATGTTGAACTTGTTGAAGAAGCATATTTTGATATGAACCATTTATACTTCCACCACGTAGATACGAACGATGATTTTCGTCACCATTTAAAACATCAAAATCAGTTGTTCCAATCATTGATGTTTCACCACTAGTATCAAAGAGCATTGAAGCATCTTGTTGTCTAAAATGTGTTTGAACATGTCTTTCAAGTCCAAATTGTGTTGTAAATTGTTCCATACAATTATCAAAAACACATCGAAATGGTTTTTCATTTGTATGTTTATGAATATGTTTTTCTAAATAATTAACACTTCGTGATGCTACTTTATAAACTCGACATCCAACCCAAAGGCACATTTGTTCTTTTTTGCTATTCTTTTGTGCATTAACATGTTCAAGAAGATGTTCAAATAAAGATCCATTAATATCACCTGTATGTGTACAACGATCCCAACGACATTTTTGTTCTTTAGGTTTTTTTGGTGGTACAACAACTGGTATTGGTACAGTTTCCTGTTGAAGTAATTGCTCATAAGGTGATTGATATGGATCATTATTATTACCCATTTCAATCACTTCTTCTTTTACTTGGACAATGGTTGGCTCACTACGACGAGAACGTTTTGTATAGCCATTACCATTTCCAATATAAGATGAAGATGCCATCTAGAATCAAATAGAGACAAAAAAAAGACTCCTATGTGGATGAAAACAATCTACTACTTGTCTTCATTCATTTTGTAAATGAAGACATGAATACAAAAAAAGAATAAAGGAGGATGATGTTTATAAAACTCTCCTAAAATAACAAAAAAGTGTTTGAAAAATCAATGACGATTGCTTTCACGTTTAATTCGTTCAGCATATGCTCGTGAAACAATATTCCAAGCATCCATATATCGATCCGAACATTGACTAATACATTTCTATAAATAATATCATGAGAATAAATAAGAAAGAAAACATTTGATATTAAATACTTGTTCAGAACTAGATAATGTACTACCGGGTTTTTGAACACAAGCCTTGAAACATTTATCAGATAATTTCTTAAATTATAAAATAAAAACATTATAAAAATGAAAAATTTCTACTTAAATATTACTTGAAGAAGTTCTTGAGCATTTTGTATAGCTAGTTGCTGTTGTACTGACGCCATAATTTGTTGACGTTGATTAGCATCAAGTTTTTGAGTATCAAGACTCATTTTTGATTGATACGATGTTTTATTTTTTTAAATAAAAATCTTAAGTAAACATATATGAAAAAATTACATTATATCTTTTTGTTTTTGTTATTGTTTTTCTTCCTGTCAAAATTCAAATTATAACACAAATAATATGAAAAAAATAGAGAAACAACAACAACAACAACAACAATAGTGCGAACATGAATATAATCACAGTATTATTTTGCTCACACGGAATAAATTTCATCTATTTATATCACAATTTATCAAATATTTTTGTTTGTTTGTTTGTTGTCTTTGTCATTATTGTTGATGTGAAAATTGCATGGCCAGTCGAGGTGATATTGTATTTAATGTTGGAAACAAATCTACATTATTACTCTCATCATCATTTTGATCTAAATCAATAAGAGATGATGATGCTGTTGAAAGCGATAAAGAAAATAATGAATTATCCATTGAATTCTGCTTATTTGGTGACAATCGTCGTTCATTAGAATAACTATTAGATGGGGTTGTCGTTTCGGTTAATTGTTGATTTGAAGCGTAAAGTTGAATCCTGAATAGAAAAAAAAAAAACAAAAACAAAATTTTAAATACATAGAAAAAAATGAAGATAACAAAGAATTAGTGTATTTATTTGTCTATTTGTCAAAGAGTAGTGTTAAACAAAGACAAAGAAGGTAAAGAGAATAAGACTTCTTATTACACTACAGTCAGATAAACTTACAAAAAGATTTGAACCATTTCGACGACTGTTTTAATCGAGGAATTTAATAGAATATAAGTTTTAAAAATACTTATACAAATTACTTACTGATTATGAGTTTTGGCATTAGTGAAAAATTGTTCTAATAATTCTTTTAAATTTTTTAATGTTTTCCGATAATCTGTATGACGACCACCTACATGACAATGATACATTATCTAGAAGATGAAATGACTTTCTCTTATAATTAAATTTTTTGGAAGGAATAACATACTTGACCAATATTTCGATTAAGCAAAAAAAGACCATACTGAAAAGAATTATTATCATAACCTGGATATAATGGGAAACTACTATAAAAGAAAAGAATCATAATCATAAAAATTGTATATTGTTTTTTTTTTGTTCAAGATGAAATTGCATTATATTAATCTACTGCCATTCACAATCTCATAGACGGTACCAAACAAATAACTGATGTTTTCTCAAGATGGACCAAATTAGAATTGAACAAAAGGAAAAATGCGAATCATTTGCTAATATTAGACAAGGATATTTAAAGCTGACTTTTAAAAGACTATAGATGGCGAAAACTATAAACGAACTTCATGCATGCTACTTTCAGAGGAGAGTATATAAGAATTTTTTTGAAAAAGATACCCCATAGAAAACTTTGAAATACAATGAGAAGCTTATGGAGTATTTTAATCGTGATAAAATATTATTAAATATAGTTATCCAAGAGTAAAAGATAGTATTAGCATTAGTTTTAGTTCGTCAAAGAAATTCTACTAAACTTACTCGCTGAGTTGTAATGAATAGTCGTGGATTTTAATCGATGAAGTACCATAAAATTCAATTGGAAATCGAAGTGGTAATTGAATGAATTGTGAAATAATTAGAACAAAATGTGCACAATATCCTACAGCTGCTTCAATATCATTTTCACGTTCGCGAGCTTCAATAATAAACAGATTTCTTTTTAAATAAATTATTTTATAGCAAAAGAACGAACAACTAACTGAATGATGTTTGATAAATTTTATCTTCAGCATGTGGTAATTTAATATTTCCTATGAAATATTCATCATTCTTATCACTAACAATTGGATAAACATAACGATATATTTCATTAATAATATCTTTTTGTCGATAAGTAATCACTTGTATTAAATCTTGAAGAAGACATCTTTTAGAGAAAAAGAGAAAAGACTTAAGAAGAATTAATAAACATTTAAATTATATTTCATACTTTGATTGATTTAAATGATTTATATATGAATTGAGTTCTTCTTGTTTACGAACTAGTTTTAATAAATTTTGTTCTAAGTGATTTTCTTAAAGAAAAACACAAGCCTAAATTTTATTTTATTGTTTTATACAAATTAATGATTTTACTTCGTTCTTGTATTATTTTTTGTTTTTGTTGATTCGCATTGACATGCTGTTCATATAGTAATGTTTGAAATTGTAAATATTGTCTCAAACTTTCAACGCGTAATTGACGGGATTCACGTTCTTTAATCTATTAATAAACATCTATTATTCATTTTCAAAAAAGAATGTCGACGGTTGCTTTTTCAATAAGTTTTGATAATAACGACAAAGAGAGTTGACGTTTTGGGGCTATTGAAACCTGGTTGGTCAGCAATGGACCAATTAAGTGAATTCTTAGCGAAGGTCTTGAACACGTGATTCTGAAGCCTTTATCTATAACATTGGGAAGTTTAATACAGCCAATTGGTAAAGAAGTCTTCTCTTTCGATCTACGCAAAATCTCAAATTTGTAATTGCTTCCGTTCAATAGTAAAAAGGATTTTTCTGAGATCTCTGATTTAGGCATATTAACCCTGGAACGCTCCTGACAGGAGTAATTCATAACCTTAAGTTGAATGATAATATTTGTTTTCCGTCTCAATACAACCTGATGCCACTATTTGAGTATTTTTAAAATTTCAATAATTTGTCCTGCACGCAGCATAAAAATCGAAATTTTAACAATGTTCAAATAGAAATCTCAGGTTGCGTTGAAACTGAAAGCAAACATCACCATTCGGCTCACCGTTATGAATTACTTCTGTTCGAAGCCTTCCAGGATCAATATGATGAGATCGAAGGTCGGAGGAAACGCTTGAACGGAAGTGGCAGCGAAGTTCGGGTTTACGTAGATCGAAAGAGAAGACTTCTATACCGATTAATTGTATTGTACTTCACAATCTAATAGACAATGACTGCAGAAACACGTTTTCAAAACCTTCATTAGGAAGTTACCTGATTGATCAATTGCTCGCCAATCAGATTTCGACTTACTTTGATTGTCAGGATGTTTACTTTTGAATGGTGAAAACTTCAGCTTTCTTCATCGGTTCTATCAAAAGTTATTCACAAAACAGCTATCAGCATTCTTTTTTGAAGTGAATCATAGAAAAGAAAATCTAATGAAATATATCTTTCCTTACTTTTGATAGATAATCTTCATGTACATCAACGAATGTTTGTAAATGTTCAAGACATTGTACTGATGCTCGTTTTTTAGCACGTATTGCATCAATAACATTAATCATTCTAAATTTTTGAAATTAATACGAATGTATATACTGAACTCACTACATTTAAACGAACCTTAAAATACTCAATTTACTATATGATTTGACTAAATGAATACGTTTAGATTTTTTATCGATAATTGTTGATCCTGTATCGTTTAATTGAACATTTGTTTGGTTATCTATTATTGATTCATTATCAGTAAATTGATAACCAAACATTTCAAGCCAAAGACTATTATTAGTTCTTTGTGAATCATCTTCCTTGAAAGAGAACAAAAACAACAAAAAAAGAAAATAATAAAAATAAATATTTATTCTAATTTGATATATTCAAATAAAATCTTACCTTACCTGTTCATCAGGGATAAGTGAATCATCAAGATGAACATCATGCTCAAGAAATAAACGACAATTCTCCGATGATGTTATCCATACACGCATTACAAAATCTAAATTAGTTTTTCAAAGATTAAATTCAAGTTTTAAATCAAAAGATTTATTTTTTTCATAAATATCAAATCTGACGAGGAAACATTCTTAAATATCCCATCGTTTTTCACTTGAAACAACTAGCTATTTGATCATTTATAATGAGTAGTAAAAGAGTCTGTTTTGTTTGGGTTTTGGATTTTCACTTCTCGAATTATAGACATTTTAAAACCTTCAACACATTAGAAGACATCTCTGAAAATCGATTTTGTTAAAAATAATTTCTATAGTTCATTGACTTTTTAATATTTTATGCCCATAATAATATCTAAGTTCAATATAGGCAATATTTTGCTTCCGTCATCATAGTGACATGTCAGTTTCGCGTTAGAAAAATCTCGAGCAGCAGCTAATAGAAAATCACAGCCTATTGAAAAATGCATTTCTCTATCGAAAATATATCATGTTGTCACTTCAATACTCTTTTGTAGCATACTCAGAAGAAGTTCTTTAGGTTCTTTATATGAAAAAAAGAAACATTCCCATGGTCATATGACCTAATTGATGCAGCACACATTCACACAGGTTACACATGAAGAGATCTTTCTAAAATAGGAACATATTCGGTAAAATCTTGTTTCGAATTAACTAAAAGATCCCTTCGCCTTTTCATTTTCTTCTGCAAGTTCAAAAATATTTTTATTAAAAAAATAGAGCAATCATAGTTGAAGAAAACATACCTATAGGTATACAGGTCAAAATTTGTTCTATGAAAAATTCTCAATCCATATTTAACTGCCGTTTTCTTATAAATTGATTCTTTGCAGACAATTGTATTTAATTGAAGTTAATTTGAGACTAATAACTATATTAATGGTACATTTTACTGTGAACGAATTCCATCTATACTATTGAAACCCTATCATAACCAACTGACTTGAATAAGTTTGATAACAAAAATTTAACTTTATTGTTTTCAGCTATTTAGCTATTGAGAAGAATGTATGTTGCCAGTGACAGATAGTATTCTTTAGAAAAAAAAGAGTGTTATTGGACATTGTACCTAGATGTTAGGGCATGACATGATTTTCTACGAAGGGCTCAATAGACGATACTCTTGTAACTTATGAACCATACGATAGAATTGAAGATCTTGAGTCTTCTAATATGTTGAGGACTTTATTCGATATTTGCTCTATGAGCATAGAATCTCTGAGAACCTGAATGATTGAATTGTGAATAAAAATTTGTCTATCAATAGGTCTTATAGTCACTAGAAGCACGTCAAAGTTTGAGTTAGAATGGATGTATAGTTGTTAAGATAGTTTCGTAACGCTTGTTTTAGACTATGTTTCAAAAGAAGGATATTTCTATGAGAAGCTAATATCTTAACATAGATTCATTTGTCCTAGCTCAAACTTCATGATATTTCTAGTGACAATAAAATCTATCTATGGATAAAATTTCAGTTCAAAATCCAATCATTAAACATTTCAGCGATTCTATACTTATATAGGGTAAAAGTCGAATAAAACACATGTATTCAACAAGCGAAGATCGAAAAACCAAACTAAAATAGACTCTTTTATCATTCATCATGACTGATTGATTAGCTATAGTCTCAAGCGAAATGTGATTGAACACTTTCGCACATTCTTCTGTGAGTAGAAAAATATTTCATATAAATATATTTTACAAGAATTAGAAACAATTTTCTCTTTTGCAGAAGAATGTTTTTTGTACGTAACTTATCGTCTATTTAATATATTTCAATCAAATAATCTTACCTTGTAAACATTGAACACTTATTGGGAATTTTAAATAAGACCATTCAGGACTCTAAAATAAAAAGAATAGTGTTTGAAAACAAAAATACAAGTACAGGTTCCATTAGACAACTTACACGTTGATTTTCTACTGGTTCACTTGTATAGAAAGCTGTAATAGTATAGTAAAATAATATTTTATATATTTTTGATAAATAGATTTCACTTTATTTTATTTACCAACGGTTTTTTCATTTCGATGTAATGTAAAGTGAACTGTAAAATTAAATTCATTCACTGTTAAATTTCGAAGACCTAATACAGTTATACATCGTAATCGTTTCTAATATAAAATTATAAAATATTCATTAGATATCTTTTATCATAAGCTCACTTTAAGAAATGGTAAAGATATAAGTGGACTCTTTTTTATTCCAGTAAAGGACATGTCCATTTAAACTATTTCTCATCAAAAGCAATATTTATATGTTCTTCCAATCTTCTAATAAAATAAGCAATCTCTAGAAATAAATAGATCATAATAATCAATAAAATAACATAAATCAATTTTCTTTCTATATAAGTCAAAAAATAGAATAATAATTTCTTTGTTTCTTTTTTAATAATAATAAGAATAATCACATGTGAAAAAAATCATTCTCTAACTTTGGATACATCATAACGTATAAAATAAAATGAAAGAACAATAAATACGTGGCGTTTTTTTCACAATCATCAATCAAATATTCACAAGACAATAATTGCAGCACAAAAGGAAAAGAGTACATTTATTTTTCACACACCGATAATTCCTCCACAACATTTTTTGACAGCATCTCTGAATTAAGAAAAAAATAAATACTACTATTAATATACATTGAAATAGATTTACCGTGCAAATGGAATGTAACTGATTGTATACCAGGCCTAGAAAAGAATACTAAAGTTATTAGCACAATCTCTACGGAATTAAAATTCTGAAATATGCCGTAACGGCTATTACTAATCATAGGAAGATTGTTTCATTCTATCTACTTCGGAACACATTTCTTCATCCTTCTTTTACTTAATCCTCCAGAAATGCATTAAGGAAGTAGTTAATACATTGTCGTGAGCCGAGATTGATATAGAGCTTGTTATCGTATATCAATAATGTTTGTATTGGCGTTAGAAGACGGTCTGTTATGGACTGTGCTAGAGGTAAAAATTTCTACCCTATATACTGCAACACTCCTTTTAGTTCATATTTCGAAAATCTTGAAAATATTTCTTTTCCTAATATTAACTTACAAGAGCAAGAAATTGAATAATAATAAATACAAGAACAAGGACACCACTTTTTATCTAAACATAAAAATAAAACTATTAATGACTTTTGTTATACTTCAAATGAACTTACTGCAAGAGCAGACACAAGTGTCATTATAATAGATCCCTGATAAACAAAGGTAAGCCATTCCATAAGCTATTTGAAAAATATTTCAACTTACAATAAAAACAAGAGTGGCAATCCATCGAGTAGCATCGAACATTTTCTTCAATTGGTTCACTGGACCCATCAAAAATATTGTACTATAAATCGAACTTAAAAGTTATAAAAAATATTGCTTATGAACTTACGATGCAACACCGAAAATAACGGCAAAACTATAAAGAACAGCAAAGCCAGAAAGGTTACTACCAATAAAATAGATAATCACCGCCTAGAATGCATCAGAGATTCCTATTAGAATTATGAAATAGTAAAAGACTGAAAAGATACAAAAAAAATTATTGATTGAACATTTTTGGTTATGTAGAATTTCGACACCTTTATTTTATTTCCGTCGGAATCTCTACAATAGAATAACATTGTCGAAATTCTGGTTTACCTTCTTACTGGTATGAGAATAGAAATTAATTATATTTGATCGTAATGAGAAAAATATCATTATAGTTTTTTTACAAAGTAACGTAGCTAGCCATTGGGCAATCACCTACTGGTCAATAAGTTATTTATCACGAATTTCTTCTGCTAATGACAATTACTTAATGGTACAACAGTAATTATCTCACAGGCTTCATCTAAGACGGTGACAGCTGTCTACATGTCAACGTAGTTTGACTAGGAAATTACTCATGATGCGAAAATTCCTGGATATGTCATTGCTTATCATAGCGATATTTAACATGAATAAAATGCAAATGTTGATGATAAAATCTTCTTCAATTGAAAAGTGATAAACAGTCCTTTAATACTTTATATTCCTCTTTTGTTTCGATTAAAATAATTTATCAAAAATCTTTTCGACATGACATTGAAATACTTCAAAGCAACGAAATCTATTTTCTTCTTATTAATAACAATGACTTACACCCAAACCAAGTAACACAGCAATAAGCAAACAGATACCAAAACCTTTTATTCGTGTATCCCATGACAAGCCGGATATCTACAAAACGAATATATTTATAATAAACTTGCATAATAAAATAAATCTCTATTCTTCGGACCAAGATAAACAACACACCTAGTTTTTTTTAATGTTTATTCTTTATAAAATAATCAGATTTCTTGAGACAACTGCAATACACTGATATGTACTTGAAATCGAAATTTGTTGTTGTGACTATCACGCGACGATTATTATTAATTTCATTGGAATTCTTGAATATTAATTTTGATGCCTTCAGCGATAGATTGTAAATAAAAACATTTCGATCTCAGTTCTCGTATCATCTAGTAAACGACACAGTAAAATACTTAAGCAATAATCGTAAATGCAATTTACATTTCAGCAGAAATCTCTAAAAATCTTTTTCGAGTAGACAACCACTATCAAACAAGAGTTACAGAAAATTTTTAAAAAAATCAGTAACTCTTGTTCAATTGATTTTACTGTATGTAATCACAAGTATGATTTTAAAGAATGATTTTCATTCGATTATAATCATTGTTTGTGACAAATACTGACACGTGAATGGTATATTTGACTTATTTTTATAGTCTAGTAGACAATGCAACGACAGAGACAAACATGTTTTCATCTTCAGCCTATTGCTAAAAGCATTACACTACTATCCTCTGCATTCAAATGAAACGGATGATCATTGCGAGATAGCCACGACAAACAAGTTCATGCAACAAATGAAGTATTCTCAAGACATTCAATGATTATATAAAGAATAAATAGAAAAAAAGTTAGCTATGTTGTTTATTTAGCTGAGAAGAATAGTTCAACAATTAGACCAAGCAAATAAATCATTTCATTGATATGATATTTTCAATCTATTGTTGTCTCACCTCAGACATAATAGCACTTTGTTCTTTTGGTTCATCTTCAGTGGGATTAAAAAACCGTTGTACTTTATCCATGATAACAATAATTAAATGAAATTATATACGATCAAAATAAGAAGAAAAAAAATATTTTTATGCAAAAGAACATAAAATGCGCATAGATAAAAATAAATTTTTCTTTCTGTATCTAAAGAATATATCTATAATTAAATATTGTTGTATTTTATTTTCAACATACACCTTTTGTTTTATTGTTCCATCTTCAATGATAGCATGATGCTCATTGATAGTAAATAATCTTTTTTTTATAAAAAAAAAAAATCTGAAATAAAATAATATATAAACCCGTATCCATGTGTGAAATATAATCTATCACCAAAAAACATTAAAAAAAAACACACACACACAGGAGTATTGATTATTTCGGGAAAAAAATGATATAAGTTAGCTTAATGTTAATCCCGTCTTTCGAAGTGCATCAATAATAATATCCATGTCATCTTGAAAGAAAAACAATGAAAGATTTATAAGAAAAATCTTTATATTCATTTTCGTACTTCTTAATGTTCGAACCATATTGACAATTTGTTCATTACCATTGACTACTTCCATAGTTTGTGTATACGGATTATAACGAGTGATAAATGGTCTTGGAATAGTCATTGCATATTGACTGTGAGAAAACATAAAATAATTCAAAATTTTATCATAATAACATAATCATACCGTAATTTTTCTTTGGCATCCTTAAAACTCTCTGCTAAGAAATAACTCGATTGATAATTTGTAATTGGATAAGGTTGAACAGCAGCACGAAATGGATCAAATGGTATTACTGTTGGTGTATCCGTTATACAATACTTAATAATAATAAAATGTTTCAAATAGTTTTCGAAAAATAAAAAACGCTTTACTCGTAATTCACCAAAAGATGATAACAGCCCAGCTCCATAAGCTTTTTTTTCATTGTTTTCCAAACATAGACCAAATTCAACAGTAAACCAATCCAATGTTGCTATTGAAATAAAAAACTGTTAGTGCCATCCTTGAAGGATTAAAATATGAAACATGTTGTAGCTCCTATTTCTAATCNGTGTCGAAAAACAATTGCCAAACAATACTAAAGGATCTGAATGGTCTGAAGTTCGCCATAAAGATCAAAATTCTGGTAGAAATCAAAAGGAACACTCCATATTGTTTTTGACAAGAAAAATTAAATAGCTTTTTTTTAGCCAAAACTCCTATTTTTACTACGTTGTTGATGAACTTGGTCTTTATGAGTAAAAAATTACTAAGCTGCCCTTTCAGATAAGAAAAAGTTTCAGATTAAACTTGATTAGTAGCGAAGTGAAACGCATTCGATAAGTGATAATGATTTTTGGAACACCCTGTACTAGTTAATCATTTTTAATCATACCAGCATCCCTCATATAAGAAAACATCAGATTAAGTGGAATAGAACAATATCTACCCTTATTTCATTTAAAAAAATAGTTGAAAAGCTTTCCAGCAGTGACTAGTGTTTTTCAGCTCGGCTTATTTTATTTACTTTAGATTAAGTTCAAGATCTTTATGAACATGCTGATTATCCACTGGGAAAGTTGGCATTGAAGTGAAATTTTTCATTATGGTCCAAATTTCGGAATGAAAAACCCTAGAAATGGGTTTAAATTAAAAGGAACATCATAAAACTAGAATTTTGTTCCTTTGTCATACCACCACTTATCATTGTTTAGGAAAAATTGTTGAGCCTCCCCTAAATTTAAATCCTTCCGCCGCCCATGAACTTATTATCTCATCTTCGTGTAATCATATAGATCACTTTGTCAACATATAAAACAAGACTTTTCTTTTATATAAGCATGTTTGATAACAAAACGACACAAAAATCCTAATAGAAAAATCAAATTAATTAGCCAAAGCTATTGTTTGCTATACTATTTCTCTTATCATGTTTCTCGTAATTTGATTATCATAAATATTTCACGACAACAACAATAAAAGAAACAAAATTACATTAAACTAGAAAAAACATTATCAATAAAAATGGAAGTTTTCTCTGAAATTGTTTCATGAAGCGATGAGTAAAACTTCATGGACTCAAATCGATGCTACAATAAATTCTTATTTATAATTCAAACAGTAATAATTACCATAAAAACTTTTTTAAGATAACAAACAATTGCAATCTGTATCATACAGAAAAATTTATACATATTTTCCTATGAATAACTGTGACTTTATTCTTTTTCTTGGCTTTCACGTTTTTTTTCTAATTTAATCATTGTCAGACAACTTTTGTCTAGATATATTTACATGATATCGAAACAAAAAAAAATGTAAATTACAATATTGTACTAATTGGATCATTGTATGTTGATGTCGATGATCTATGATATTGTTGAGAATCACATTTTCTCTCCAACGCCGATGTTAAACTACGACCAATAAAACTTAAATAACGCCCAGCTAATGCAACAAGATCTTGAGACTAAATTTATATGAAAATTTCGTTTCATGTTACATTATTTATCATGATAAACTTACTCTATCAGCTTGACATTGAAGAAGATGAGGTTGATTTAAACTACCATGCTTAATATCGATTAAATTTTGATGACGACGAATTGAAACTACATCGTTATATGGTATGGTAAAGAGAGTTTCCTGAGATCAAGTTTTAAAAAACGTATATTTGTTTTTTTTTTAATCAAAGAAAGTTTAATCGACTTACTCGTGTATCTATATCAAGAAATAAAATTCCATTTTTAAAAATACCAATCAAACAAGGTGATCGAATCGATGGATCATCAACTGACTACAACGAAAATATGTATATAACGAATCGACAAAATACTTATAGACCTGAGCTGTAAAAAATGTCGTACCAAACAGAGGCCATGTTTGAATCACATCTAAGTAGAATACGATTCATTTAAAGAGAACACGAAAGTACATAGCATTTACTTAAAAAATTTAATTTAGCTTCTATTGTTGTCATTGATTCGATAGATGACTCGAGTTTTTCATGAACTGTTGTTGTCCACACTTGAGGACGAACATTTTTCACTTTTAACACTGTAGATGGAAGAAGATGTTTTACTTCTCGCCTTGAAAAAAAAAACATACATATGCATATACTAGTTTCTATAAATTATCGGTGGACTCAGAATTCGGACTAGGGGTACGCACTAGAGCCTGTCGGATCTGAAAATGTTTTGACTCGGACTCGATAGGCTCTAGTGTCCCCTCATGGCTCCACTACTGCTATAAATATATATATATATGCATACATTGAAGGAAGACCGATTTTATTCGAAGCACGAAATTGAAGAGCAGCTATCAATGAAATTTGTTGCTACAAGTAAACAGATCAAATGTTCATATTAATTCATTTAAATGTTGTTGTTCTTTTTTTTTTATACCATGAGTTCATCTGACAAGTGATTGTTTTTGATAATTATCATGTTACCTTCAAGTAATTCTGGTACAAGCTGATGATACATAAAATCGATAAATATTTCAGATTTGTTATTATCATCAAGTATCATTGGAATAGTGAACCAAAGCATACGTTTTATAATTAAATGATAATCATCCATATTTAATCGAACACATTCACTCAGAATATCAAATAAATATTCATTTGGATTTAATAAACGTGATGAATTTTCTATTAAAATACCATAGAAAAGTTAGAAAAAGAAAAAAAAATTCGAGCTTCTGTTGAAGAAAATTTACCCGAAGCACTTATAATAAAAATAGAATATTCATCATGTTCTAAGCTATTCGATATATTCAGTTGTTGACATAGTAGATTGAGACAATCACCAATTACCTAAAATAGAATTCATATTTAAAAATCGAACTTTTACTAATGAAAACTTCGATTTCGTTTTCCGAATATTGAATCTCAACATGAAGCTTCCATTCTTTTTTATTGACGTCTCACAAGCTAAATATCATATTGCTATTAGATTACTTTCTATAAAATATATATTAAAAATTATGTTACGCACTTTATTTTTCTCGTACTAACTGTATAGACTCATATGTCGAGTATAGAAAAACCAATCAAAACAGAAGTTTGTCTAAAACCAGCAATATTCAGTACTAATGTTCAGCGTTTTTGGTTTGTCATAACTCGTGACCTGTTTTTCTGAAACTATGTCTATTATTTTAACGAACATTAGATATACCGAGTCTATTATTCAGAGCAACAAAAATATGTTACAGTGAAAGACAAAATTTATTTGATTAAGTGAATAATGAACAACTCAATTCCATTTGAAATAACATTATGACAACGATGTGAGCTTATTTTGATTTAGAAAGAACGAGTAAATTATTGAAGGAAGTTAAAAAGATAAGATTATTTGTGTTGTGACCAGGATTCTTGATTAGAGAGAACTTTCTTCTTTCCACAAAATGTTCTACTTTCAGCCAAGTCATCTGCCTTACTCTGGTAGAAAGTGGAATAGAAATAAGCAAATCATGTCATTGCAAGTTAAATAGAATTGGAGTAGATCGCCTGTTGCAGAAGAGGTCGGTTGACAGTAAATTTCGTTCTTCTCTCACTTCAGTCATCCTCCTAGTACTTCGAAGATAAATGCACTTTCTACCAAATTTTTGGCTTCCCATCCAAAAAAACTATCAACAACCCTTCTTGTGTCAAATCTAATGCACTTAACACGAACACAGGATGTATGACTATTTCAGTACTCGTAATCACCTTCAAGTCATACCGGGCATCACTTAGTACCAATTAGTTCATTCAACTAATCTATCACACTGATAAATATTACCTAAGTTTCATCAAATTTCAAATAGATGTTTTGATATGAGATTAACTAGAAGATTTACTTTTGAAAGTATCCAACACGAAAGAGAAAGCAACAACTCATCTGCATTTGAGACTTTCCTACAATATGATATACGTTCCGTAATAGAAAACAATAGAGATCTCGTTTTTCTTATGTTTAGTTAATTTTTAAATAGTATTTTAAATTATCCATTATTGATTACCATTGATGGTGTTGCCATTAGAGCTAATGGAAATCCTCCTGGTAATAAAACTATTTGACGTTTTCCTGCATTTCGACCATTCTATAATATAAAACAAATATTTTAACATGAACAGAAAATTTTCATACAACTGTAAAAAGATCAATTTCAGCTTTGCTTGGTGTATTTTTTCTTCCACCATATTTTAATGTTTGTTCATAATGATTTAAACATAATCGTACTATTATCAATAAAATAAATTACAAATCTATAAATATTATCAAACTTAAATATTACCTAATTTTTCATTTTGATTCATATTATCATTAAGATATTTAACAAAATATGGTCGTAAATTTTCACTTGGTATAAAATAATTAAGTATAATAGCAAGAAACTTCCATCCATGTTGAACACTATCATTTTTTGTACTTTTATTATCTGTTAATTGTTTTATAATTTGACATATAATTTCATCAATTATTGTTCGATGTTTATGCATATTCTATGGAAAGAAAAAATTCTTTTTTTTTTCTATCTATTACAAAAATCTGAACGAATACTTTTAGAAGATAAAATACACAATCCATATCACTGTGACCTCGTGGCATTGTTTGATCACCCATAAAACGCATGATAGCTAAAAAGAACTTTTTTTAATGAGTTTTATTATTTAAAAAACAACAATGATAAATTTACCAAGAAAAGCTTGCCGAACAATACGAGTTGTATCATTTGATGTTTGACGAAGAAGTGCTGATTGAATTGGACTCTATAAAAAAAAATTCCATATAAAATATTAAATTTAAAAAATCGATAAACTTACTTTTGACCATCTAATTAATTCAGTATAATCTTGCCATGTCCATTCTTATGAATAAAAACAAAAAAGGAATAATTCGCTAGGAATAAAAATAAAATTTTACCTGAATTTTTCCAACTTTTCTTTGATTGTCTTATTATAAATAAAAATTTCGTTCTTGTTTCATTTCGAATCGATATTTTTAATATTTACCTTTTACTTGGAATTTGAAAATTTTTTAAAGCAAATTCCATCATAGAATATCCACCTGGTAATGTAGCTGGATTTGGAATAACAATATCATTTTGTGTTGGTTTTGGTGTATGAGTATCAAATGAATTAGATGGGATAAGTTCACTAAATGTTTGACTGCAACTCATTAAACTACCTTGACTTGATGATTTTAATAGATCACTTGTATTTGATATTAAATTTGGTGATAATTTTTCGCGAGAAGATTTCTTTTTCAGTATAACAAAATTATTTTTAATATATATCAAAAGAAAATATGAGTGAATTACAAGTTTTTGATACGTTAGAGATTTTAGCGGTATTTGGTTAATAAGTCTTGCTTTCGTTGATCGATTTTTTTATATGTTACTGAACTCTGAGCATCACACACTTACAGCAAATTGTAGCTGTCTAGGTCATACCGTCGCCCACTTATGAGGCTCATACAGAAAAACAACGTATTTTATAGAGAAACTCGCCAAATGATAAATTGCTTTTGAAGTCAGGCTTCTCTCATTATTTAGCTCATACTGAGACTGATTCTTGTTCATGCTCTTTGTTCTCGTGTTATAGCCATTTTTATTGTGTTTTTGAAATATTGTAGGATACGCAAGGTGAATTCGAAAGAGTATATTTTGACTTGAATATTTGCCTATAAGAAAAGCACAATGCTATCTAGCATGTATTAAAAGTTTCAGAGAAAAAGAGTGTTTTGTTCTCAAGATAATGAATTTTCAAAAAATCTGACCTTTTTTAATTTTTTTGTAGGTCATGGTTTATTTTAGAAGCGTATTATCTCAAGTACGGAGCCCTTGTTTTCACTAAAACTTTTGGAACATTGTAGATATCAGCAGACCTTTTATGAGCGAAACTTCAATTCAAAATATGCTCTTTTGATTTCGTCTCTGGTACCGTAGAATACGTCCACAGCACAGTAAAACTGGCTGTAGCATGGGAAGAAGAAGTCATGAGCACAAATCATTCTAAGGTTTTTTCAGTTTCAATAGGACTTAAATAATAAGCGATTTATCACTTCTCGGGATTGTCTTGTAAGAAAAAGAAATTTTCTATGAGTGGGAAGAAAAGGTAGCAAATACTCTACTTTTTAGTGGTTGAGGTATTCTGTCGACTCATATATAATCTTTTCTGTTGCTTTCTTTCTCTGTCGACGCATATTCGTCCGAAATACTGTATGACAGACACTCTTTCATTTTCATTTAGAACGATATCATTCGTTCTTGTTGAAATATATACCGTAGATATGCATCTTAGAGTTGTATTGCCAGTTAAAAAATCAGTCATCTATTGCTTATCGTTTCCAGAAATTTACATAATATGACAAAATGTAGAACAATATTTTTCATATTGTATTTCAACCGGCGAAGAAAATCCCCTTAGTGATAAATCGCTTTTGAGATGAGACTACATGCGTTATGTAGAACCAAATGAATTATGAATATCTTGAAAACATTTTAGGTGCTCAGTTTATTGATGCCGAGATTCTGTACTTTTACGGTACTTTCTTAAATGAATGCCGTGACCTAGAAAAAATGATTTTCAAATTTCGATTTGAAATTTTGCACAGAGACAGGTGTTAATGAAAATAGTTTCTTATGAATATTTGAAGTCTTGCTGGTGTTCCTATCTTAAAATATTGCTATGATAAAAGAGTGTCTTTTACATCGTTCATATATAACGACAGATTGGATGTTCTTATTTCAGGATAGAAGCAAATTAAAAGATCCAAAACTTTCGCAATCAAATACCTTCATTTAAGTCCGTCTCTGTACAAGGCTCTAAGTTAAAATTCGAAAATCAGTTATTGTCGTGTTTCTAAGAAAATCACAGTATCCGTTTAAAAAGTGCAGTATCTTGACAGTACCAAGCTAAGAGACTGAACTCTTTCCAGGATATTCAAAATTCACTTGGATCTACGTGGTGCATACCGTCTCGATTCCAAAGCAAGTAATCAATTGGAGACTTTCGAAATAGATAATATTTTATACGATTGAACTCGTTTTATTGCAAGCGTTGGTTTCCGATTCGCAACCAGTCTTATTACAGAAGGTCGCATCTTGGCGAATATTCAGGAAAGTGTTAAGAAACTTTTGCTATGTAATATGGATATAGAGCATAATACAATGTACTAGTTAGAAAATATTTTGATCTACTCTTGATTTTTCACACTAATCGTACCGAAAAGTTGCAATTCACTCATATACTTATACTTACATGATTAGATGTACGAGAATTTTTACTTTTATCGATTCGAGATTCTTTTAAAAATTTATCAATAATTTGTATAATTTTTTGAATCTATAAACAAAAAATAAATAGGTATTTTATTTTATTGTTTTTAATATCTATAAAAAATATACTCGATGTGAATGAATGGTAATACGTTTTTTTGTTAGACGTAAATCAATTGTTGAACCATTTCGAATTGGTGAAATTTGTTGAATAATATCAAATGGAAATGTTTCAAGTACTTCCAATGTATCATTAGTAGTTTTTGTTCGATTTCGTTTAATTAATCGCACACCTAAATGTGATATACCTAACATTTGTACTTCACCAGAATGATACTTTGGTATCTTGAGTAAAGAAAAACAAATTAAAATAAAGATTTTCTTTTAAGATGAAATAAACATACAGAAACAGGATAAAATCGACAAAAATATGCTGCCCATTGACGTGCTTGTTCAATAATCAATTTTTTAATTGATAATTTATTTATTAAATTAATATCATCAATGATTCCAACACCATGTGAAGCTAAACAAAAATGATTTTATACTTATAATAATAATAATAATAATAATAATTTACATAAAAATGTTTTCATATTTGTTCGTTCTGCTTCATTTATACGAATACATATTGTTGAAAATGTATCATGTACAATTTGTAAATATAATAAATCAATTAAAAGTGGTTGATCAAATGTTTCCATTGGTGAAAAAACTTCTTTTCGAATTTTTAATTTCCATTCAATATTATGATAAGTTAAATAACTGAGCAATTGATGTGATGAGGATTTACTTGTTGTATTGGGTGCTTCATTGCCAGAAGGAATAACGTCTAAAGAAATTTTTAAAGAAAACAAATTATCAACGGTCTGAAGTCAAATTAAACTTTTTGATTTCAATAAGATTTTTTATGATGCAGTAGCTATATGCCAACCATGTTATTTATAGAAGCAGCACCAGGTTTTTTTATTAGGAGGAACTGAGCCTTTCTCAAACTTCTTCTCAGATCATCGTTCGTAACAACTTTTAAAATGTTCCAGAGACGAAGTTCAGCCCTCCAGTAGCACCGTCACTAGTTATTTACATTTTCTTTTTTGCTATTCCTAGTGAATGTACTGAATTCAAGATATCAGTGTACTGGGTTAGTTGTCAATAGGATTCCTTTTCGGACACCCTGTTATTAGTATGGCACAAGATCTTGGGTGGGTATCCTTCTAAGAATTCTCTTAGTACGCAGGTATCTGTCCAGATACCTGACCAATTTGTATAGCATTATATGACAAATTTTCCAACAAGTTGGTGAATTGAATATTTAGAAGCATTAATGCTAAAAACCCATAACGTGTCCATAGGACAGTCACTAGGATATTTATTTCATAGATTTCAAAAATAATAATCCAATAATCGACGCGAAGAATTTTTGTTGTCGTTTAGATATATAAATTCAGGCACGTTTCAAAAAGATCAAAATCGACGAGTCAATGTATGTATATATATATCAGAGTCAAACCGAAATTTTTCGATTCAGCTTTGTTCCTGTCGACTCTTCAAGAGAAAACCGTGACTCTTCTAAGATTAATATGCATGTGTCCTAATGATGATTCTAAATAAGTATATTGGTAGTTAATGGGTCTAACTGGAATATAAAATTGGTACTTTGTAAGAGTAAAAGCTTGCTTGTTTCATTAGTGTCACTCTGGTGGAGGTGAAGCTGAAGTCGGAATCAGATTTAAAAAGTGCAATGTTGAGAACTAAGTAGTTTGACGTAATAAAGAATAATAAGATAATTTTCTCTCCTAAATCGAAAAGTAACATAGATGTTAAAAGTCGAAACATAATAGTTTTTTCAAGGAAGATAATCAGTAAAATTAATAATAAATTCAAATCATTATTTATTTGATTAATTACCTTTTAAGATAAATTTTTCAAAATACTTCGTTATTTTATTATTTTCTCAGGTATTTTTTCTGAATATTCTTCTCACCTGCAAATGACGAATCATCGGGGTTTTCAAATAATTTTTTTCGAAGTTCAAAATTTTCTTTACCAATCCTAAAATGTACAATTAACAATCAAAATATTCTTCTCATTTCCTTTATACAAACATTGGTGTCAATGTTTTATGAAAATCTGATTTTGATGATTGATTTCGTGTGACAATTTCATTTGTTGATACATCATCGTCATCATCATCATCCCCACCACCACCACCACCACCACCACCGCCACCACCACTTAATTCAGAAGAATTAGACAATGCTAATCAACAAAGGTTCGATTCTATATTCACCAAAAATATTTTTTGATTATATTCTTTTTAGACGTATACTAGTACAACGTCGTATACAAGAAGAAATTCATGGTAATAAAACAATGNAAGCATCCAAATTTATCATTTTCGATCATCATAGTGTTGAAAACAAATAGTCAGAAAATACTGTTTCAAATGTGAAGATGAAGTTTCATGATGGAATCTTATCTCATTCATTTTACAATTTCCTACAGAAAGTTAAATTTCTTAGAGATATCCATCTAAAAAGGCAAATTTTGTTAACTTGTCTCTTGTATTTCAAGCTTCGAGATAATTAAAATTATGACAAACTGATTTTATCCATCAAACTCATATGGACAATTGATAAGAAATAGCAAATCATACAAATAATTAATCTATAAATCCACAGCGTCCTCTGAAAATATGTTAATATTCATTGATAGAGTTTTTGTAGTGAAGAATATCGTCATGTATACTTTACCATTCCTTTTATAGTTCCATTACTTAAGTGATCGAAACATAGATAATTCATTTTAATAATAAGATCGACACAATAGAAACTCGTAGGCATGAACTGTAAATACCTCGGGCAGTAAGAAAGAAGAGAACGCTCATCGATGAAATGATTAATTTCTAGATATAGTTGAATTGCTGCTAGATTTAAAAGAGAAATAGTAATTCAACTGTATATAGAAATTGTTCATCCAATTCATTTGGCAAGAACCACAGTTAAAGAGCTTGACAACGGTGGCGTAATTGATGTTTGGGAAACATAATCCTTCTTGTTTTTTTTTTGCTTTTCTGGAAGAGAAATTCATAGTTGAGTGGTTTGTTCATTCATATGTAGACAAATATGCCTTTCAATTATTTATTTAACGTGAAAGAAAAAATAAAAAATTATTAAGATATGAAAAAGAAAAATGTTAGTGCAGTAGTGTGTTATTGACGTGAAATGAAGTGTGAACGATTTCATATTAGTTGATGTGTGTCATTCGTATGAATAGAATTTGTTTGAGAAATGAAGTAAATTTCAATTCAATAATTGCTGTATTAATCCATTCAACGATGAACATCATTGAGAAAAGTGTAAACGAATAAGAATATTGATTCGTTGATTTTTCAGTGATCGAAATCTTAGACGTTCAAAATCGTAGTTCAATATCTTTTTATGTCTTCGAAAGTTTTTTATCGAATGAAAATGAAACTTCATAGTTTGCTCATTTTCTGAGAGTAGTATAAAGAAGAGTTCCAAAATGACTTCTCATTTTCATTAAGAACCCTATATACTCTTTATGAACAATATTTCCATTTGGCTATGTAAAACAAGTGAATAAATGAAAATTCAATAGAAAGAAAAACAAATTTCAAATATGTTTAAATTCTCTGATGTTTACGTCATCAACATTTCTACTATGTCAAATTTTAGAGCATGTATTCAAATTGACTATGCAATGAAGCGAAAGTTCATGAGTATCATCAAATGATAACAATTTGGTCAATTTCTAGCTTCATATTTGAAAAAAAAAACATGTTTTTTTTCAAATAAATTTTCTATTCATTTCTACAAGTAAATATCGTTTGAATTCAACTTTCAATAACTAACGATAGAATCTTCTCAAGTATGTATCTGTGATACTATCTGTAATTCATGCATCTCTCAAACCAAGTATTGAGGAAAAATATGAGATATTGAGATTTTTTTGACGAAGTTGTAGCCGTTAAAAAAATTCTAGTCATACTTGTTACTATTCTACGTAACTCCTATTCACTCAATAGTTTTAAAATGCTGAAAAATTTCATATCTTCGATTTCATTCTTCTTAATGTTATTTTTCACATGCTTCTCTCTCAAAATACTATATCTTAAAATATAATTTTTATCTAGTTTTTTCGATTCATCTTATTGTCATATTAATTTATCATCAGTCTTTGGTTAATTCAATGCAATAATTATCTGCAAAAAACGTCAATATAAATACGAAAAAAAAAAGTCAAAACAAACTTTTGTGGGAGTGCACAATATTACAATAAAAAAATTTTTGTTCATGTCATCAACATTGTACCACAATGTATATTACAAAAAGAAAATAATCATTTGTCCATGACCGAGAAAAAAAAGCGGACGAAAAATATTGTTAATATAGCTACGTCCATACGACACAAACATTTATTTTCGTTTCAATAAACATCTTCAACATTAACCTAACTATTCATCATTATATATTGATAAGTTGTTGATCCATTTTCATGTGATACTCTCACAAGAATTTTTACATGATATTATTAATATGATTAATATGACCAGTTTGAATCAATTATCTTCCCATATCAATTGATGGTTCCTTACTAACTGAAGCATTAATATTGAATTAGGAAATAAAGATAAAAAAAGTAAACAAAGAGGAGTTTTATCTCTCTATATTCATGAATCAGTGTTGTTTCTTCATTAAATTCATTCATTGTTATGAATATAATACAAAGTCCAGCATAATATAATCTGGATAATTTTTCATTAAGATTCGATTTAATTGATCTTGAACTATTAGCTACACCATATACAATTCTATTCTCAACTTCTTCTCACATCAAATTTAACTATTTACGTATAAGACTTGTAATGATTATTACTTGATTATTTTGCATATGATGAAAATTTCTATGGACTCTCATATATTTTAGTTGGAAAAATAGATCAATCTTATTTTCATGATAGAATTCAAATAATAATATTTAATATTGAAAAAAATACTCATCTAAATAAATCTTTAAGAAACTTCATTTTATCTTCAAGAAACATATTTTAGAAACTTTTTTTTTTGTTGAATTATGTTCACTCAATGAATTTGATACCAGTAGAAAAATGAACAAGTATTCTATGATTGATTCGACGAAAACTATTATCTTGTTATTTTTAAAAATATAATTTCATCTAACTATTTTCATATTAAGATTATATTCAATTGTTAATATTCAATTCTCAAGAGCAACTGATTTAAATAAAATTTAATCGATAATAGTTTGACCAACACTAAGAAATCTGTGAGGAAGACATTTGTTTTTAAATGAAACTTGGCTCATCAGTTGTATCAAATACTGACATAGTATTATTTGTCATACTAAGTGTACAAAAAAAAACTGAATATAATCAATAAATATTTAGGTAACCTTTAAAATTGATTGAAACTAACATTTATGGGGAAAATAGCGTTCGTTAAAAATAAAACAGTGAATTGATTGACTAATTAATGCAGTTTTTTGTAACTTTTTCGCTTTCCTTCTGGCACGACATAGGTATCAAAAGATATCAATATTATTAAAACGAAGACAACACCAAAAACTGGTCACCATTCTCTTTGTTTACGCTTAAAACAACTTTAAATACAGCTAATGATAGTTAGTGAATCAGACAGAGACTAAGCGATCAGTCGAACGTAATTATTAAAAGCATGTCGATATTAGTTAATAGAATTCACAGAGTAGTGAATTTTTTCAACGAATACTTTTGACTTCAATAAGCTGATCGATGAAAATATAAATTTTCCGATTTACGGTGACGAAAAACACCTTATTTATGTAAAATGTAAATATCTTTTGGAGAAAAACATTAGGTAATCAATCGTTGGAACGGTTATTCATGTTTTTATGAGGCACCGATCTTTTCGATAATCAACATTCAAAGCTTCTCGTCACATTTCACAGTCGAGTGAAACTCATATGTCATCTAAGTTATACATGGAATTCAGAATGAAACATTAGCATTACTTATTAATGGCTGAGCAGTGTAGAAAAAAATTAAAAACTAAGATTAACAAGCATGATATCAAAGCAACATCACATTATTTGTTAATCCAGATATTAAAAATATAAATCTCCCTTTAGAATGTTTTCTTTTTCTCTGATAAACTGAATTCGTTTTATTACAGTGCATTTCTTACGAATAAAATAGGCATAGGTGGACCATCTGATGCAGTTAGTTTAACTAATTTTAAACTTATTATTCGAGAAAATAATATCTTAATCATAAACATAATTTAGTGTATAAACAACCAGATGACAGCAAGATTGTATGTGCTTCATTTATTTCGATTGAACCATCTTACAGCGGATGATAGCAAATGGGTAAATCCATCATGAAGTAATCAAAATTGAAAGAATCTTATTGTTTCATCCTTCTTAAAGAATTTTCAATGTTTATTTCAAATTTTGGAATGATTCTTGTCTAATTAATGATGTACACTGAATAGTATCGACACTTTCAATATTATTCTACTCAAAAGAAAAAAAATGTTGATTTATGCGATGTGGTGATCATCAGAAGCAATTTAATAGAATTGTTGTCGTCCAAGAAATTTTGGTTCTTAATCTTAAAAATACACTTCATCTAAGTTTGTTGACCACATCATATAATAAACTAAAATTCATAATGATTTATTGGAAAAACAAAATTGCATTCAACTAATTATCACATAAGTTTCAATTTATATTTATTATCTCATATTCAAAATTCTATTTTAAATAGATGAACGTTTTCCTATTGTTCACATTGTCGGCAAACAATGTCAACACTTAATAGTGATTTTATATTCAAGAAATCTATGTAACTGGTTTAATAATAAGAGCCTTGATATGTTTACGAATGCCAAAAGAATTGTTCAAAGGAACATGGTAATTTGAAGATTACGAAAAATTGGTTAATATAACAGAACACAATATTCAAAATATTGGACTTCATAATTGTTATGGATGGTAATGAGTACTTGTTTGATTTGATAATCGATATTAACATGTAAATCGAATAGGTTACATATGTTTTTAAGACTTTATTCATTATTTTAATGATAAACTATAAATTACAGTGATCATTTTTTATTTGGAATTAGTATAGCTCATTCACTCTGATTGATCTTCAATTCAAGGAATATTAATCTATTCTCGAGTGATACTTCTTATTAGACTATTTCTCTTCGAGATACTATTGATTTCGAACAAATAATAATTATATTGATTGATGATTGTTAGCATCCTTGAAAAAGAGACCTATACAATAATCAAATCACTGTAGAGTACTTCTTTTATTGAATCATGATCATACACGCCAAGAATTCTTGATTGTGAAGAACTTATTTTGAGATTTGTGTTAACCAGTTTAATGAACTATATTGAGTAATTCGATACGTTCTCTTTTTTTTTCTATTAACAAATCTGCACATATAATTTACAACTATGTAACGATATGTCTTATCTTAGAATTTAAAAAAACGTAGTCAGTACCGAAAATTATTGTTTGGATCATAAAAGCGTTTGCATGACAATCAAACCGAAGCAAAATATTCATTGATATAAATTGTTGAAATAAATAAATCTAAGAAAATGATTTTAAAATTATCCAATCCTTTAGTCGAACAATTAACTAATGAGATTTTTATCTTCAGTATTAGTTATTTGTTTTATATTTGACTTGAAATCTACAAGTAAAACTAAACTTACTAAAATAATGCGACCTGATAGTGATTGTTGTGCCT